GGAAGAAGATCAAGCGATTGAGAACTGATAATGGTCTGGAATTCTGTTCGTCTGAGTTCAATGAGTTCTGTAAGAACGAAGGGATTGTTCGACACCGCACCATTAGAGATACACCACAGCAGAATGGTGTGGCAGAACGCATGAATCAGACACTACTGGAAAGAGCAAGATGCATGCTCTTTCATGCTGGTTTGACTAGGAAGTTTTGGGCAGAAGCAGTAAACACGGCGTGTTATCTGATTAACCGTGGACCTCACACTGGTATTGACTGCAAAACACCTTTCGAGGTATGGTCTCAATCACCTACAGATTACTCTACATTGAGAACTTTTGGTTGTACAGTTTATTATCACGTGAGTGAGGGTAAACTAGAACCAAGAGCAAAGAAGGGCGTATTTGTTGGTTATGGAGATGGAGTCAAGGGGTATAGAATTTGGTCACCTTCAAAAAATAGAGTTATCCTTAGTCGGAATGTGGTGTTTGATGAAAATTCTATGCTTAATTTTGTTGTGAGGTCCATTGGTGCAGAAAATTCTAGTGTTGATAAACAGGTGGAGCTGCAAGTCACTCCAAATGAGAGTGAATTACAATCCCAAGGTGGAGAAGATCAACACACTACTGCTGAAACTACTATTTCTGATGTTCATCCAGAAGCTCGTCAGAGAAGCATCGCCATTGATAGAGCTAGGAGGACAGGTGTGAAGCCTCCGGTGAGGTACGGGTTTGAGGACATGGTGACATATGCACTATAGGTCGCCGATGAGGTGGAAGATGAGCCATCGATGGACGAACCATCTACATACAAAGAAGCTGTTTCGGGCAGCGAGTGCGCTAAATGGCTCGCTGCAATGGGAGAAGAGATGGAGTCATTATCCAAGAATCAGACTTGGGAGCTGGTCACACGGCCTAAGGAGAGGAAGATTGTTACTTGCAAATGGATTTTCAAGAAGAAGGAAGGAACAATCCATGGTGAGGGTGTAAGATACAAAGCACGGCTAGTGGCAAGAGGGTTCACACAGAAGGAGGGGGTTGACTATAATGAGATTTTCTCACCAGTAGTCAGACATACTTCCATCAGGGTGTTACTTGCGATGGTTGCACATCAGGATCTGGAACTTGAGCAACTAGATGTGA